AAGGCTGTACTGAAAGAAAAGTCCATGGATGTGTTTTAACTCTATCCTCCTAATCGGTAAGTCTACATATGTGGACAGTACAAAAAAAGGACTTTGGTCTCTTATAGGGACGGTCAGGTAGCCTGGTGGTTAATGCGTTAGCTCGTCACGCTGAAGACCCGGGTTCGATTCCCGACATGGGTACAATGTGTGATGCCCATTTCTGGTTACCCCCGCCATAATATTGCTGGAATATTGCTAAAAGCGGCGTAAAATCAAACTCACTCAATCACTCTTATAGGGACAACTTGTTTTTATTATACACATTATCTAGAACTTGTGATTTAAACTAATAATTATTGCCTAAGAGACATGTGCAAGTCTAATGCCTCAACACAATCATGGAATTAAAGCTTATCTGAGACCATCTCCTTGGCATCTAAGCTCCTCCAGGATGAGTTTATATATACATTGTGGAGTTAATATTAGATATGGCTAAGATTGGTTTATTGTCAACCACCGGCAGAAAAGGCTGAGATTAGGTTATTGAGTCGCAACAAGAATGGCTAAGATTAAGTTTGTATCTCGAAATATTCAGTGCTGCTGTATTCAAGACAACTGGAGCCTGTATATTTCTGGCAGGAGTGAAGGTTTGGAGTGGCATCATGGCGGTGTGGGGGCAGTGTATTTCATTCATGGCATGATGTAAGCATTAAGTAGGGAGCGTCTGAGAGTGACACCCAGCCTGGTTCTGTCAGATGGTTATTGCTTCCAGGAGGGGAGCTTGGGATTTCAGAGCTCAGAGATTCAACATTGGTGATGATGCTATCGGCCTGATGCAGGGGTCTGCATGTGATCATACACATTGATGTAACTGTGCGTGCTGTAATACAGGGGAGATTAACATGGGTGATAGTATAGTCCATAGGCACTGACATAACTTTACATGTAATACAGGGGAGATTAACATGGGTGATAGTATAGTCCATATACACTGACATAACTTTACATGTAATACAGGGAGATTAACATGGATGATAGTATAGTCCATATACACTGACATAACTTTACATGTAATACAGGAAGATTAACATGGGTGATAGTATAGTCCATATACACTGACATAACTTTTCATATAATACAGGGAGATTAACAATGGTGATAGTATAGTCCATATACACTGACATAACTTTACATGTAATACAGGGAGATTAACATGGGTGATAGTATAGTCCATATACACTGACATAACTTTACATGTAATACAGGGAGATTAACATGGGTGATAGAATAGTCCATATACACTGATATAACTTTACATGTAATACAGGGAGATTAACATGGATGATAGTATAGTCCATATACACTGACATAACTTTACATGTAATACAGGAAGATTAACATGGGTGATAGTATAGTCCATATACACTGACATAACTTTTCATATAATACAGGGGAGATTAACATGGGTGATAGTATAGTCCATATACACTGACATAACTTTACATGTAATACAGGGAGATTAACATGGATGATAGTATAGTCCATATACACTGACATAACTTTACATGTAATACAGGAAGATTAACATGGGTGATAGTATAGTCCATATACACTGACATCACTTTTCATATAATACAGGGGAGATTAACAATGGTGATAGTATAGTCCATATACACTGACATAACTTTACATGTAATACAGGGAGATTAACATGGGTGATAGTATAGTCCATATACACTGACATAACTTTACATGTAATACAGGGAGATTAACATGGGTGATAGTATAGTCCATATACACTGACATAACTTTACATGTAATACAGGGAGATTAACATGGATGATAGTATAGTCCATATACACTGACATAACTTTACATGTAATACAGGAAGATTAACATGGGTGATAGTATAGTCCATATACACTCACATAACTTTTCATATAATACAGGGGAGATTAACATGGGTGATAGTATAGTCCATATACACTGACATAACTATACATGTAATACAGGGAGATTAACATGGGTGATAGTATAGTCCATATACACTCACATAACTTTACATGTAATACAGGGAGATTAACATGGGTGATAGTATAGTCCATATACACTGACATAACTATACATGTAATACAGGGGAGATTAACATGGGTGATAGTATAGTCTGTATACAATGACATAACTTTACATGTAATACAGGAAGATTAACATGGGTGATAGTATAGTCCATAAACACTGACATAACTTTACATGTAATACAGGGGAGATTAACATGGGTGATAGTATAGTCCATATACACTGACATAACTATACATGTAATACAGGGAGATTAACATGGGTGATAGTATAGTCTGTATACAATGACATAGCTGTAGTGGAGGGGAGATTAACATAAAGTGATAGCAGAAGGAAAGATTAACATGAGGTTGATAGTATAGTCCATATACATTGACTTAAAGTGATAGCAGAAGGAAAGTTTAACATGAAGTGACAGTATAGTCCATATACATTGACATAGCTGTAGTGGAGGGTAGATTAACATAAAGTGATAGTAGAGAAAAGATTAATGTGAGGTGATAGTATAGTCCATATACATTGACATAGCTGTATTCGAGGGGAGATTAACATGAGATGATAGTATAGTCCATACATACTAACATACACTGTGGACAGGGACATTAAGCAAATTTATTCCTACCCAAACTATTAATACCAATATATTCTTCATGTTACGTCTGCGTCCTGAAAACCATGTTTTGTATACATATGTTCAATGTGTACATATATATTTATATTTGAATGAATAACATACTAGACTCTGTCATGTCCATGTAGCGTTGATAGAAGTCTGAATCGATATAGTGTTCTGTAGTCCAACATTTATTTAGGCCTGCACAGAGGCCAATATTTGGCCCAAGTCTGAAGCAGATGTCAGTTGAAACATCCCAAATGGGATACAAATGTTTGACAATTCCTGTTAAATAGTTGTGATCACTGATGTGATGACTTGATCGAGGGGACTTGTTTTACTGATGACAGGACCAAAACGGGGTAAGAGGCTTTAATGTGTACATCTGAAAAGAACTTTTAAAAAAGTCACAATTTGAATCTCAAATTGTTCCATTTGCCTGCCAAGGGGACTTAGTTTGGAATCGTAGATAAATCTCTGGTTGTGTTCTGTTCTGACATGGCTACCACATGAATGGTACTTTGGTCAATATGCACTCATTTAGCTGCAGTTCAGCCTTCACAGGACTGATTTTGTGTAAAAAAATTTGTATGTAGCCAGCAGGGCTTGCTCCTTTTAAAAGTTACTAGTTTCCTCCTTTTAAAGGGGCGGTCGGGTAGCCTAATGGTTAAAGCGTTCGCTCGTCGCGCCATAGATCCGGGTTCGAATCCCGACATGGGTACAATGTGTGAAGCCCATTTCTGGTGTCCCCCGCCGTGATATTGCTGGAATATTGCTAAAAGCGGCATAAAACCATACTCACTCACTCACTCACTCCTCCTTAAAAGTTACTGGCCCTACTCCAAACTAACTGGCCTACAACTGAATGGTGGAGGCTGCGAAGTGGCCGAACCTGAGGTCACCATCTTGTAGGGCTCTGAAATATTATAACTCCTCATGTCACCACAAAATGATTTTTCCTGCACTCTAAGATTAAAGCAGTAAAATCGACCCCTGATATTTATAAAAAAATATGTCTTAACTCTCTAAGTTTACTCAGTATTCACCTGATGAAGGGGCAAAGAAACGTTGTGACAAACAATAAAAGAAGTTGTTATCCATAAAAAGTGTCATGTATTCAACTCTGTTGATATTTAAAAGATTGCCTACTTCCATAAACATTTCACTTGGACCATGAATGTCACAGATGTTTAGAGTCGGGAACACACCATTGCATGTTGATATGATTCAGGTAATCTTAGGCCAGTTCCAGTACGGTATGGAGATTGTGTGTGATAGCTTTGAAGTCTTCATGGGCATGACATTTGAGACTCCTGATCTATGTGTGATTGGTATGTGTTTGGTTTAGAACTTGTCCATCGAGGTGGTCAGGGGAAACTTCATCTTTCAGTCACTCTTGTTCCTTATCATGCATAGCCATGATTGGTGCTACGAGGACCATTTGTTGTGTTGCAGGCTGTAAACAAAGAAACAGGCCAAACAATTATGTTTGAGTCTTTTATAACTTTCAACATTCACTACACACAGATTGAGACTTTTGAACAATTGTAGGAGTTTTGACTATAGAAACTTTAAAAGAATTTATGCAGTATATAGAGGGTGAATAAGGGTAAGTCAGTCAACAGATCTTTTGCCCCAAAATTAAGGTCGGTAAGTCCAAAAAAAATGAAAAATAAAACAGTACAATTTCAACATGCTCAATTGTATTTTCTTTTATGATTCATCATTATTCTTTTCTTCTTTTTTTTAAAGTATTAAGATTAATTTTCAACAGGTTTTAATTGTAGTATGAAGTTGTTACCCATAAATTGTGTCTACTTTGTCATCTTTCAACTTTTAAGTAATGCCTGTCAAACAATTCATTCAAAATACTGTTTTTCATTTATACAATTTGTTTACATATTTTTTTAAGAGTTGGCAGATTTAAAGCTTTAAAACAAGTCCTTAAAAGAATAAGTAATTTTGGCTTATAGGATTATGAAGATTTTGATTGAACAAGTGGTGCTCTGATTATTTGCAATGGAAACAATTAAAACAAATTATTTGAGAGGGATAGCTAATACTTATTCAAATTTCAATTGTATCATTCTCAGTGAAATTAAATATGTCAAGGGGTCTTTGTCATAATCCTAATGTTAAGAAATTTAAAGTCTGAGAGATTTATTGAGCCCCTGGATTCCAGTTCAATAGCAATAATCACAAGAATCTACCTACATATATACAACTGTGTAATATATAAGTTATATCCATTTTCAGGAGGGAATAAGGAAATTTAAAAGACCAAAATTAATAGTCTAGGAAAACCACTTAATGTTGAATACTGTTGCAGATCATCAGAACTTCTTTGGCAGTGATGACAATCTTGGGCCACTTGCAATCAGTATTCGCCGGGAGAAGGTTGACGCAGAGGAGCGGACAAACCATCTTGGCAAACCAGACTATGGGTTTTATCAGTATAGAATCATCTGCAGAACAAGTGAGGTAGGAAGCTGTTTGTGTCTGATCAAAGGGAGATAACTCTTGTTGACAGATAACCTGGCATCCACAAATAGTTTGTAGTTGTTTTCTGTGTCAGTTTAGTTTCCTCACAACTGATACTCTGATTTTGACTTTTATGATTCTTTATTTGTGAAACAGCTTGTAAAGTTCATAAATTACAAATTTATTTTAATGACTTTTTTCCATGCATTATCCAAATGAAATCAATGCCTTAAGTCTACGTCTAGACTAACATGTAAATCCATCATAGAAAAAGATGGATATCTTGTAAAGTCAGAATATGTCAAGTAGGATATAATTGTAAATGCTAAACTAACATTATGTTTCAGCTGACAACAATACGAGGATCTGTGATAGAGGATGCCATCCCCTCGTCGAGTCGGCTCAGCAGTTCGCGTGGTGTGCCCATCAAGGAAGTCCTGGAGTTTTCCCTGCCGGAAGTGCAACTCTCCTCCCTCAAACAGGCCACACCAGGCCAGAAAACAGCTGAACAGCTGCTGAAGGTGGACGAACAAGGGGTGAGACACTTGCTCGTACAGTACATGAAGCCACTGGGCCAAAGTCCTAAGCCTGAGTCTTGTACAATTCTGTTCGGTCTAGTAAACTCAGCTTAGAATAGTCCATATAAATGCACTAAAATATAATGAAGATTTTCATGTTAAGAGCCATGTTCGAGCTAGTAGCCTCAAAAGATTTTGGGACAGATTGATTATTGAAGTGAAAACTTGTCAAGAGGGCGGAGAGGGATCGGGAATGTTTCAAGTCATATGGCTAACCCACTGCCACTTTGGGAGCATAGTTACTATGAAGTTAAATTGTCTTTAATGATAAATATAAAATTATTGAAGGTCGAGTGAACATAGTCACTGTATTCATCTTAATCTGTTGGCAGATGTCATTGGTTTTAAAAACAGAATGGATATGATTAGGAATGTTATTGCTTCATTATATTGATCAGAGTCTGGAGCTCACAGACGAGGATGAAATCTACAGATAACTAGCCCTCGAGTAGTGCAAATATTCGGTCAGTGGATCAGTCTGGACAGTAGAAATGATTGTAGATCTGCTGTTAAACAAAGTTGAGAGCAGAAGTGTCTTTTGACAAGAAAAATTTCCTTGATTGATATGATTATTTTGGGAAGATATGAATGATAGTTATTGATCAGTGAGTAGTCTGAAAGCCTGGTTAGTGATTATCGCCGGAACTACTCAGAGCAATAACCAGCAATATGGATAATCTATACAATCTTGGCAATTTCATGTTAATTTCAAACACTATACAGTGACTGAGTGTGAGGATTGTGTCTGACCACGAAGTTCTCCGTTACAGATCAGCAACACATACAAGGTGGGGATCAAGTACTGCAAGTCCGGGCAAGCCTCTGAGGAGGACATGTACAATAATGGTGAGAGTGAGTGAGTGGGTGGGTGAACAAGTTGTCCTGTGCTGAAGAGTGAGTGAGCAAGTTAGCCTGTGCCTAAGATGCCGTGATTGAATGAGTAAATTGTCCTGTGGCGAGTGATTGAGTGAGTTGGCCTGTGCTGAAGAGTGAGTGAGTGAGTGAATTGGCCTGTGCTTAAGAGTGAGTGAGTGAATTTCAGACAACAATCAGCAATCCTGTCCCGGCTAGTGGACATACCTCAGACCATGCATACTTGAACTTTGCGGTTAGACACAGGTGATTTCGATTTTGACACACGATTTCCATAAACATTTTGATATTGTTCCATGCTCTCTGTGTTCTTTATGTATGGGATTTCATGACAGGGTAGACACACAGGTTCCCAGGGTTAGAATAGGTCCCTAGGCAGGGTAAATTGCTCATGCCTATCGTCATACACTGACTGTGTGGCTCATAATATCAACCCCTGGTTTGCCTGGTCAAGACTTGATTAATTACAGGCCACCATGATATAGCTGGAATATTGCTGAGTGTGGCAGAGAAAAATCCAACAAAACATATGTCAGGTTAGTTAACATAACACAGCCAACAGACATTTGATAACTTTTTGAATGGCTGTTATTTATTTCTGTCAACAGAGCACAGCTCGCAAGCTTTCGAAGAATTCCTCAAACTCATCGGGAAGAAAGTCAAGTTAAAAGGTTTCGACAAGTACAGAGGAGGACTTGATTGCAAAAGTGAGTGTTTGACTTCAAGTTCTTGTAGGTTCTTTGTGGGTAATGTAATGATAATGTACAACATAACCTGGTTCCATAACAGGACCAGGATCTGTGTCTTGAGGTCTTGGACTTGTCCACGTCATCCATGTTTTGTAGGGTAACTGGGTAGACAAGCGGTCAACGAAACTTTTGCTCCAGAGAACAAGGTGTGAACCCCAGCATAGGTACAGGATGTCATCTCTGTCAACGTATTGCTGCAATATTGCTTAAGGAGGCATAGGCCTTACTTATTTACTCACTCACTCAATGTTTTTGTTGCAGCTGACTCCACAGGAACCCACTCCTACTACACAACTTTTGAAAACTGCGAGATCATGTTTCATGTCTCCACCATGCTGCCCTTCACACCAAACAACAGGCAACAGGTAAAGGACACAGTGTTGAGTACTCTATTACTTTATTACATACAAGCAGTGTCCGAATAACTGCCTGCCCATGGCTGGTAACTTTTCTCTATGAAATTTTCCTCCACCTGCCCGACTGTCTGTCAGGTAATTTTAAGACTACTATATAATAGGTTTATTATAACTTCTTGTAAATTCTCTTGTAATTGTTTGCATTATTTCAAGATGTGATTTGTCTCTTATTTTTGTGTGATTTTTCACTATTTAAAATGTCTGAATGTGGGCAGGTAACTTTGAAGATGGGCAGGCAACACTGATGGGTCACCTGCCTGACGGTCTTGTTGGACTTTAAAATAATTTCAAACACTGCATACAAGTCCAAGATGGACTTTGAACCAATTCTGTTGGACTGCCACTGAATCAAAAAGTATTGTAGAGGGTATCAGAATAAACAGATTTGATACTATTTTGCAAGGGATGTCTCACTGAAAATGATTATTTTTGCTTCATGTTGATTGGTTTATCTATACCTATATTGTTTGGATTGTTTGAGAAGTGGCCCTTGGCAGTGGGATGATGTGTTGTGTTGCAAATATTTGAATAAGAATGTTCATTTGTTCATGACTTGACAGATGTTTGGGGGATGTTATTTAAGATGTCTGTGTCTAATAACCCCACATGTCCCTCCTCTCAAAACATAAAAATACAGTGTTACAAAGATTAACCAACTGAAAAACATAGTCCCATGAGACAGAAAATTCAGAATTCTCAGTAGTTTGTTACTTACTCTCTCGAAGGCCAGGGATCCATCCCAAGTGAAAACAATGTGTGGAGGATTGGTACAAGTAGGTTGACTTAATGGTACAAGTAGCCTGTCTTGATGGTACAAGTAGGCTGGCTTGATGGTACAAGTAGGCTGACTTGATGGTACAAGTAGGCTGACTTGATGGTACAAGTAGCCTGTCTTGATGGTACAAGTAGGCTGACTTGATGGTACAAGTAGGCTGACTTGATGGTACAAGTAGCCTGTCTTGATGGTACAAGTAGCCTGTCTTGATGGTACAAGTAGGCTGGCTTGATGGTACAAGTAGACTGTCTTGATGGTACAAGTAGGCTGACTTGATGGTGCAAGTAGGCTGGCTTGATGGTACAAGTAGGCTGGCTTGATGGTGCAAGTAGGCTGGCTTGATGGTACAAGTAGACTGTCTTGATGGTACAAGTAGGCTGTCTTGATGGTACAAGTAGACTGTCTTGATGGTACAAGTAGACTGTCTTGATGGTACAAGTAGGCTGGCTTGATGGTACAAGTAGGCTGGCTTGATGGTGCAAGTAGGCTGGCTTGATGGTACAAGTAGGCTGGCTTGATGGTACAAGTAGGCTGGCTTGATGGTACAAGTAGGCTGGCTTGATGGTACAAGTAGACTGTCTTGATGGTACAAGTAGGCTGGCTTGATGGTACAAGTAGGCTGGCTTGATGGTGCAAGTAGGCTGGCTTGATTGTGCAAGTAGGCTGGCTTGACTCTGATGATTCTGTTTCAGCTGTTGCGCAAGCGGCATATTGGGAATGACATCGTGACAATCGTGTTCCAAGAGCCAGGGGCCCTCCCCTTCACGCCCAAGACAGTGAGGTCGCAGTTCCAGCACGTGTTCATCATTGTCCAGGTGCTCAGCCCCAACACAGAGAACGTCCAGTACAGGTACATTGCACCACAGAATCTCTTTCCTAGGTTTCAGCCTGGGAATCAACCAACCACTGCCAAATATCAAAACTGCAAAATAGAATAGTAACAGTCTAAAGATAGTTTTTTTTGCCTGTCCACACTTGCTTGCCCCAAGTGTGCACTAATATGTGTGCTGGATCCTTATCATATTGCTGGAATATTGCTAGCTGTGTCGTAAACAAACTTCATTTACTCACTGATAGAACTGTAGCAGTAACAATTAACACTGACTGATTAGATCCAACTTTTATGGCGGAATCTGCAACTAAAGCATGCAGCATACTGCTCACTCACCTAATCTGTATGAGAGTTATTATACTGCTCTGTTCTACATGGCGTTAATTTAGATGTAGCAGTGATGTGATAATGATGATTTTATTGCAAAATGTTCATCTATCATACAGCATAAAGAATCTTTTTGTCTCTCCGTCTTTCAGAGTTTCTGTCACAAGATCCAAAGATGTGCCACCGTTTGGTCCGCCCATACCTGAAAATGCTTCATTTACAAAATCTGCTGAATTTGTTGATTTTCTTCTTGCAAAAGGTGTGTGGTTTAATGCATCCTGAAACAATCTGAGAAATACATTGTTCCTTTGTTACCATTGTGTGTCAGTCTAAAGGGAGACAATCCTTGACAACAAAAAATCCCATTCACCATTTAGCTGTTCTTTAAACTGAAAAAGTCATTTCAGCATCCCATGACTTAATCTGAACAATTGAAAATAAATAATTTTTCATTTCAACCCTTTTCAGGCAGATGCCATTTAATTATCAAAATTGTTTTGTCAACCAAGCTGCCATGTTTGTTTCAGTGATAAATGCTGAGAATGCTGCACACAAATCTGACAAGTTCCGAGCAATGGCGTCACGCACACGCCAGGAGTACTTGAAGGATCTCGCAGCCAACTACAGTTCAGCAAACTCCTTAGACTCAGGGTCCAAGCTGAGTAAGTGTTGCTCATTCAAAAGACCAGGGTAGAATAGGTCTTCAGCAACCCATTCTTGCCGTAAAAGGCAACTATGCTGGTCATAAAAGGCGACTTACGGGATCAGGGGGGTCAGGCTCGCTGACTTAGTTGATGCATGTCATTGTATCCCAATTGTATAGATCGATGCTCATGTTGTCAATCACTGGATTGTCTGGTCCAGACTCGATTATTTACAGACCGCCGCCATATAGCTGTAATATTGCTGAGTGCGGCATTAAACAACAACCAAACCAAACCAAAGCTCTTTCAAATACATTACAGTCATTATGTAAACCAACTAATGTGTTTTCAATTTAAATCAAGGCCGGATAATTCTATGTCTTACTTAGGATATTTTGGTGAAAGAGCATCAGGTGGAGAAAAATATGATATAGGAAGACGATTTCAGATTATTTTTGTTTTGTTCTTGAAAAAGGTTATCATTATATGTTGACATGAGTGAGCCTTGCTTCAACTTCCTTCATGTCTGGGTGGAACAGATATAGTGTAGGTTTCGTACCTAGCTTGCCTTCACATGAAAACTAAATATAATACTTGTGATTAACGATACGTTGAATGAATTTGCCAACTGATAGCTGACAACAAATGCAAATCGGGTATGAACAGTTAAACCTTGGTTTATTCAAGCCTATCGTTTGTGACAACTATGAGAATGCCCAATATGAGGAATCGAGACTGTAGTTTAATATACCATTTAAAACGATGTAGTTGGCACATGTTCATTGTTTTGACCACATATGTACAATGAGAAATAGTTAAGAATAGCAAGCCAAGGTAAGCGATTTATAATTGTTTGTTTTCTTTCTTTTGATCTAGGTAAGTTTGCGCTGGGCAGTGGACGCAAGAAGGAGAGAAGCAAGCAGAAAGTGGTTCCTGATCTCTTTGCTAAGGGCGCCATTGTCTGGAATGTGCAGGTCAGTTGCATAAAATGGTTGTCATTGTGACCGCTTCAATGGTCCAGTTTATGTTTCTAGGTTTGTCAGCACCATACCCGTGCTCGTGCTCACCGAAGTGGTAAACGTTTGAGACCTGCATCACTTCGGGCTTTCCTCCCACATTAAGCTGACACGCCGCGATATAACTGGAATACTGTTAAAAAAGCGGTGTTAAACCCAACTCACTCACTCACTCAATGGTTCAGTGTATAGATTGTCTGCCCGAAGAGCGGATGGTCAGGGATGCTAAAAGATGGTACTTGGTGTTACCCTGCCTGGAGCTAGGCATTAACCGGATAAGGACTGGCCGGCTCAGATTCTGTAATCTGTGTGTTTGAGTGGTGTATCCATGTTAAACTGCAGCGTGGTACAGTGGTCCCTCGCTACAACGCTACCAATGGGGTCCAAATAATTGGTGGGCATTATAGACGATGAGCTGTTTAACCGAGGCCGAGGCGGGGGAGCGCGCTCGGCCAATCTCACGATCTTCGCCTTGTCTCGCACATTGCAATGATTCAAGTTGTTTACCGTTCATAGTGTAAAAATATATATCCATTATGTTTTCGCCGTTTGTTATTATTTACAAGCCTTAACTGTCACATTCAATGTGAATGTAGTCTACTTACATGAAAATATTGATTGATAATGGTAGTAACAGACGCTATGAGTGAAGAGCCAATCACAATTCATTACACAAGTACAGTGTGATTCAGTGGCATTGATTGGTCATGTTGCTTAAAATACGGAAAACGAGAGTTTTGACCAGCACTATGCGCATTCATACACATTCATGCAAATATAGATACACATTCAAGCCAGATTAATTGGTTTGATACGGTTACTTGATCTGAATCAAAAGGAATGACCGCCGTGTTGTGACAGCAACTACATGTGAGTTGACAGTGTCGCCTCAAATTTGATTGCCCACTAATTAAGAAAATAAACTTCGCTTGTGGTTCTCTTTTATTGCATGCAGGCGCTTCTAAGATCAAAGGATGTATAGTGTGAAAAGTTAACTAGTAGAACAATCGTATTTCCGGGACTTGCCGCAGATGTTTTCAAACAGATTATTAGAACTCCATTCAGCGATAAACAGTTGATTATGCAATGAGAAGCGTTATGTGCAACAACGAACAACAATACAATCACGGCTGTGTAAAACTCTCAGTATTAAAAGTGTACATAAATTTTGGGAGCCATGCGATACCGCACGTAGTAACCGAGGTAGCGCTTTATCGAAGAGCCCAATAGCGAGGGATCACTGTATCTCAGTGGATATACTTGACAAAAATATTTCTCAAAAGGAGCTTTTAACTCTACTTATTCTTTTATGCCTACCCTATACTGCCACCTCACAGGGTTCAATGTGACATTTATGTTCTGTTTTGGAAACATTCCTTCTTGAACCAAGCACAAAATGACAACTTACAATAATGTCAGTGACTGCATTTGGCTGTTACATAAGTTGTTATCCAGAATTTAACTAGCATCCATTCAAATGAAACTGCAAATTTGTATCACTGCGTTATCAATGTAGCACTTTCATTTATCCATTATTGAGTTTCATTTACTAAACCTGATAATTATGCAGTGCTTGAGGTTAAGTATTTTTTTACGGTGACGTATAGTAGGAGTTGGAGTTTTGTGTAGTTTAGGTTTTCTTTATATGAGGTTGGTTGGTTGGAGCCAAGAATTCTGAAATGTGTTGCTAGGCAGTTGGTTCCTTAGGACAGAAGTGAACGTTATGTGAGCCTGTCTAATGTGTAACAATGGTGTCATGCAGATCGAGGACTACAGCAACGCGTCGCAGGTGGAGTGCCTGTTGGCCATGGCGGCTGATACTGTGGTTCTGATGGAGGAGGGCAGCAAATACATCATCTTCACCATCCCCTGCGGCACTGTCATCGGCTGGACGTTACAGGGCTCCAGGTGAGAGGAGCAACTGGTAGCAGTGGAAACACCGTCCGGGAAGAATTTATTTGGGTTATAAACTTAAAATGAAATGCTGACACTTTGGTAACTCACCTTTTCACATCAAAAGGGTCACCAACTTAGTGGTTTGTTGTCCATGGCCCCAGTATTACTGAGTTTTCATTTTCTTGTGAAAAAAACAACAGATTTTCTAACATTTTGAACTTGTCATTTTCAGGATTTCTTTCGTCTATTTTTATGTGACACTTTCTTCTGAATTCAGTTTACGCCTGTACTTCAACCAAGGGGAGTTTGTTCTCCTTAGACCACTCAGTGGCGAGAGGGAGGAGATGGATGAAATAATCAGTCGTCTGTCGGCCATTACACAGGGATCAGAGGTAAGTCATGTGACTGCATCAGTTCCTTAAGCATGGAAAATTGTATCGTCATGTATTACTGTTCAAGGTTCTGTCTGCAGTAGAAGTAGTATAAAGACAAGTAGCATATAGTTGTCGTATACTTTGCTCTAATGATAAAGTATAAAATATTTCTTTTATATACCCTATATCGCTGTGTATAAGGCGACCCCACGTATAAGACGACCCCCCTGTACACGCCTTAAAAATCAACCCAAAATCCTATACCCCGTGTATAAGGCGACCGGGAATGAAACACATCACAAGTCTGACTGATATAGAAGATTTAACGTGCGCTTTCCGACTGTAACTAATAACATATAAGAGACAATGGTGAGTAATTTAATCGCCAATTAACTATGTTGTAACTAACTAGGCTTATGTTTGCTTCACATTCAGCGTGTTTATTCCACAATCACTTGTACACACCTTCTCCAACACTTTTTAATACAACTGTAAAAACAGCGGGAATTGATTTCAGCTTCACCGGTTATCACATGTTAGGTCACATGTGCAATATGCAAATGCTTACCGGTACTTCCGGCTCTCTGCTCACGGATGTTGATTGTTTTACCGTGTCAGGTGGTTTGACAATCTGCATCGAGGCGAGGGTCATTTCAACTTTGTTTGAAGAAATTATTAAACTTTATTCAAGGAAAAGAGATACAAATCATGTTTATGTATGGAAATAGTTATTGGAACAGTTATTTAGGACGAAATGCGAAGTTTTATTGTCAAATGCTGGGCTGGCTATCGGACGGCGGTTGACATCGCCAGTGGAAAAAAATGTGAGATCTTCGACTCCGTGTATAAGACGACCCCCCTTCTTAGCCCCCTATTTTAGGTACGAAAAACTTACCTTATACACAGCGATATACGGTAAGGGTGATAAGGTAATAAGTATTAATCCCCAGTGGGGACTCCAGGTCTGAATCGGTCCCCTAGTACCCATGCTTGATGTAGGAACTGACATTTCGTGTGTGTCATTGTGCCCAGGTTAGGTGGATTTTTGGCCTTGCTTTCAACTACAAAGTTGTCTGCACCAGCCTCAACCAGTTTCAGGACAGAATTGGGTCTTCAGCACCTTATTCTTGTCGCAAGAGTCTACTGACAGGCTCGGGTGGTCAGACTCACTGTCGTGGTTGATGCATGTCATCGTATCCCAATTGTATAGATCAATGCACTTGATATCTCGTGGTGCAGACTCGATTATTTACAGACTGCCATCATGTGGCTGTAATATTTTGTTAAACAACAAACAAACAAACCACATTCACTTACAAACTTGTATCTGCAGACATTGGAGATCAACCTGCGTCGGAACGGCCTGGGTCAGCTCGGCTTCCACATCCAGTCTGAGGGCATTGTGACGGAGGTGGAGGAACATGGGTTTGCCTGGTCCGGAGGCCTCAGGAAAGGCAGCCGATTGGTTGAAATATGCAAAGTGGCGACAGCTACACTTACTCATGAACAGATCGTAGATCTACTCCGAACATCACAGCCTGTTAAGGTGGTTGTTGTGCCCCCTCTTGAAGATGGATCACCAAGGTGAGATAACTCTTGATGTCAACAAATTCATCAGGATTTACAATATGTACAGCTAATATAAATAAACTACTCATCAGACTTTTATGTCCTTGGAGGAAAAAGATCAAATATCTTGCTCTTGTGCCCAGGATCTAGTGTCGGACAATAAACTGTGTTTCAGTAGATCATACGAGAATATAATGACAGTAGACAATGCTAAGTAAGCCTGAAGTAGACTAGATCATCACTAGAGTCAGGCAGTAAAGATTGAGAGTGCTACACGATGAGTTTGAGAGCAGGGTTGATGTCAGTTTTGTCGGTTATTATTCACAGAGGCTTCCTTACCCTCAACTCGCACTTCCATTATTCTTCCATGGGGGCGCTGAATGCCCTTATTCTCTCTGAGCGTGTTCACACTCAGAAAGAGACTAAGTACAACAGCCAGAGAAGCTCCCTAACACTGCCGTTACAGAGAAAGTCTAGGTACACATCATCCTCATTTCATCTCATTGCCACATCGCTCACAGCTTGTGCTAATGGATAACACCCCACCTTCAAATGGAACAGTCCTTTTCTTCAATTTAGAGTTGATACATTGGCTAGATAGGGTATTTGGAGTATTCTATTTCTACTTAAAGGGGATGATTGCTTATTTCTTGCTTGCCCTGCTGTTTTAGTATCAGATTTTTGCAATGTTTTACTAGATTTAGTCACATCTTTCCTTTCACCCGTCTGCTTCCCTGTCATGCTTGTCACCTCATTCTTCATCCTTCATTTTCATTTGCCTTGCCGCCTCCATCATCACCAATCACAGCTATTATCTGTGTTGTCATGGTGATTGAATGATTTTTACATGGATTGCTAATTTCTGCATGGTTTATTCAAACAGTTGTTCATTTATTTTCTGACATGGTATGCAGGAATCTGTTCACACCTTTAAATTTGGTTCAGTTGCATTTTGATTTTCTTTCAGAGTTTTTTATTTGTGGAGGGTATTTTTATTTGTTGACGCAAGACAATTTGATTGCTTGTTTTGCTGATTTTCAAGTCCAAAATGCAAGGTGAAATAATATATAAATATTTCATTTACTATTATTTGCAATGATGTAAGATTTGAAAAGTTCTATGAATAATTATGTAAGAAAATAGCAGTTTGCATTGTGCAAATTCGCAAAACAAGAAAAGTGATTCATCTGACCTGACCACTGGAGGATTTATTTTCAGTTTCCTTGTTTTTGTTTTGTTGTTGATCTGTATTTGTTGAATGGTAAACGGGTTTGTCAAAAGACAGCTGTGTCCTGCACCTGAAGGAATGCTAGCATGTTACTGTTAAGAAAATGCTTACTTTAATGGCTTTCTCTGTCTCTGTGCTTTTTAAAGTGAAACTTGATTTTTTAAACATAATAGATATGAACTGTATAAGAAGACAAATGTACTTCGTAAATTGAATTTTTTTAGAAAGTAGCTTGATTGTTTATGTATTTCAAGAAGACTCAACTTTTCCTAGTTTGCATGAATGCATAACACTAAGTTTAAACTTTTCCCGTAGTTCTACTCTCTGTAGACCCAAGCCTGACTCTGCATGAAGTCACACTTCATCAAATATAGTCTAAATAAATCAAAGGCAAATATTAAACAGTTTTTTGAATTTTTAAAAATTAATTTTTTCCACAATTATTGAGTCATTACTTATAGATAATACATTGTTATGAATAATGACGTATAAATGATTCATGGGATTAAGACCATTTTGTTTATCATGGAGGTGTGCACACAATTGTTATGTTCTGAAGTTGATTAACCAATATTAGTTGGTGTCACTGAGCATGTTAAAAAATAAGGTTTTCATTTTACAGGGGAGGTGGCGACATGAAGACCCCATCCCCACGAAGTATCCCAGTGTCACAACATTCATCAGATTACGAACTAAACAATCGTTACCCAACTCACGCATACACGGATTCCACGTTGTCGTCTGGTCGGGGTTCTGATGATGGCCGACTGTCCCACTACAGTCAACCTCAGCAGGATGTTTACGAGACATATCGCACAAGGGGAGGCAACCCTGATGGCCATGTGAGCTCTGGTGACGAGTTACACTCGAGAAGTGGATCACATGATAGCTCGGATTATTCTCTATCGGGTAAGTACATAGCACTGATTAGAAAAGACATCCAAATTGAAACGCAGAGGTTAACCGAGAAATTGGTTTCACAGGACTAAATTGTAAATCGGTGAGTGACAAGGGATCACTGAATAATCAATAAATGTGACCAACCATGAGATAAGGGACCTTAGTGGTGAAAAATTACATTTTGATTTCTCATTATATTAAAAAATACAGTATCATAGGAACTAGGGCTGGGAAGGGTAGCTTGGGTACTCGGGTCGGATGGGTACTGAGTAGGACATGGGTACCCACAGACCTACCCGAACCCGTGGTTAGTCACATGATATATTTTTTAATGACATTAACAATAAAATTTCATTTTTACACTTTATAAGTACAAGTCACTAAAGTTCGCATTTCTTTCTGACTGTGCACACAAACCTTCTGATTTATATATGTTTTAGTAAAGTCAAAGCTTCAGTCAACTCCAGTATATGCACGATCGGATTGTTTTATGCTATCTATAAATACGTTTTGCCAGTAAAAAACTTCCCATTTGAACATTTTGTACTTAGCTTGAGACCTAGAGTGGGTACTCGGGTAGGGTCGGGTAATAGGGGTCAGGTACTTGGGGTCAGGTACCCGGGTAGTAAATTTAGACTCATCCAAGCCTTATTAGGAACACAATGCAGAATTCTTATTTATTAAAGAGATACTTGGCATCAAACATGTGGATTAATTTTCTGCAAAATCACATTTTCAATCTTGACATAATAACTGTATAGTGACTGATTAATCGAAAGTAGACATATATGCTAAAATGTTTTCAAATAGTGTTTTTATTTCATTACAACCTTACAAGATATTTTTGTACTGTCCTAATCGATCGTCATGGCGATTTCTATGGTCATAAGTTGACCTCAAACGTCTTTCTTTATGATGTCACAGCACAGTTGTATCCTAGCACCCAGAAGCCCCTTTTCTACTGGCGAGTCACAATGTTTAAACACACTGTTTCAAGTTTACAATCAGAGAGTCAACACAATGGTCTAATAAGTGGCAACAGCAATAAGTGGCCCGTGAAGATCCGGGCTAGAATAGGTCTTCAGTAACCAATGCTTGCCGTAAAAGATGACTATGCTTGTCGTAAGAAGCGACTAACAGGATCGGGTGGTCAGGCTCGCTGACTTGGTTGATGCATGTCTTCGTATCCCAATTGCGTGCATCGATGCTCATGATGTCAATCATTGGATTCTCTGGTCCATTCTTGATTGTTTGCAGACCGCCGTCATATAGTTGGAATATTGCTGAGTGCGGTGTTAAACAACAAATAAACAAACAAACAAACTACCTTGGCTCCAGTCTGTTGGGTATTTTTACACCAATGAGTAGACATGTGTTAAATAATTCTGCTTAAACTGCTGTAAACCATTTTAGGAGACCATTTCAGGAGACAAATTTGTATCTGTTCATGTGTGCCCCAAGTGTGTCACATGTTGCATAAACTCACAACAGCCATTAGTCTGTGGCGCCATTTTATGCATGAACACTGCAGTGGAGTTCATGTTTGTGATGTGTGATGCCCATAAATAAAGCTGTGTAAATACCTACACAAGGGGGAAATTACACATTTGTTAATTACACAGACTGTTGTTTTTATTTCTATGCAACCAACTCAAAATTATATGGGTAATTCTGACTCATTTTGTGTATTTAATTGGAACCAGATCTGCATCAGAATCCCCGAGAACTTTTCTAGGCATATTGCCCAAAGCTTCATTTTGGACTGTGAAAATTTTTTGTACACATAAATCCAGGTCCCATGTTCCTATAGATTTTGTGGCCACGGTTTTTAATCTATTATTTCTAAACTGTTTATGTCTAGTGGTAAGGTTTTGAGAAGGATCCAACTGAAGTTACTGAGCCATGTGAGGATTTGGGGGAGTATAGATTCCCTGTTGCCCATTAATGTCGTAATAATCTGTGTGTGTTTTAGGGGAATAAAATAATCCAGGTGCACACAATCTGTGTGTGTTTTAGGGGAATAATCCAGACACACACATTGTGTGAATGTTTTAGGGGAATAATCCAGACACACACATTGTGTAAATGTTTCAGTGGAATAATCAAGGGGCACACAATCTGTGTGAGGTTTAGGGGCATAATCCAGACACACACATTGTGTGAATGTTTTAAGGGAATAATCCAGACACACACATTGTGTAAATGTTTTAGGGACATAATCCAGACACACACATTGCGTAAATGTTTTAGGGGCATAATCCAGGTGCACACAATCTATGTATGTTTTAGGGGAATAATCCAGACACACACACTGTGTAAATGTTTTAGGGGAATAATCCAGACACACACATTGCATAAATGTTTTAGGGGAATAATCCAGACACACACTCTGTGTAAATGTTTTAGGGGAATAATCCAGACACACACATTGCGTAAATGTTTTAGGGACATAATCCAGGTGCACACAATCTGTGTATGTTTTAGGGGAATAATCCAGACACACACATTGTGTAAATGTTTTAGGGGAATAACCCAGACACACACATTGCGTAAATGTTTTAGGGACATAATCCAGGTGCACACAATCTGTGTATTATCTAGGGGAATAATCCAGACACACACATTGTGTAAATGTTTTGGGGGAATAATCCAGACACACACATTGTGTAAATGTTTTAGGGGAATAATCCAGACACACACATTGTGTAAATGTTTTAGGGGAATAATCCAGACACACACATTGTGTAAATGTTTTGGGGGAATAATCCAGACACACACACTGTGTAAATGTTTTAGGGGAATAATCCAGACACACACATTGTGTAAATGTTTTAGGGGAATAACCCAGACACACACATTGCGTAAATGTTTTAGGGACATAATCCAGGTGCACACAATCTGTGTATTATCTAGGGGAATAATCCAGACACATACATTGTGTAAATGTTTTGGGGGAATAATCCAGACACACACACTGTGTAAATGTTTTAGGGGAATAATCCAGACACACACATTGTGTAAATGTTTTAGGGGAATAACCCAGACACACACATTGCGTAAATGTTTTAGGGACATAATCCAGGTGCACACAATCTGTGTATTATCTAGGGGAATAATCCAGACACACACATTGTGTAAATGTTTTAGGGGAATAATCCAGACACATACATTGTGTAAATGTTTTAGGGACATAATCCAGGTGCACACAATCTGTGTATGTTTTAGGGGCATAATCCAGACACATACATTGTGTAAATGTTTTGGGGGAATAATCCAGACACACACACTGTGTAAATGTTTTAGGGGAATAATCCAGACACATACATTGTGTAAATGTTTTAGGGGAATAACCCAGACACACACATTGCGTAAATGTTTTAGGGACATAATCCAGGTGCACACAATCTGTGTATTATCTAGGGGAATAATCCAGACACATACATTGTGTAAATGTTTTGGGGGAATAATCCAGACACACACACTGTGTAAATGTTTTAGGGGAATAATCCAGACACACACATTGTGTAAATGTTTTAGGGGAATAACCCAGACACACACATTGCGTAAATGTTTTAGGGACATAATCCAGGTGCACACAATCTGTGTATTATCTAGGGGAATAATCCAGACACACACATTGTGTAAATGTTTTAGGGGAATAATCCAGACACATACATTGTGTAAATGTTTTAGGGACATAATCCAGGTGCACACAATCTGTGTATGTTTTAGGGGAATAATCCAGACACACACATTGTGTAAATGTTTTAGGGGAATAACCCAGACACACACATTGCGTAAATGTTTTAGGGACATAATCCAGGTGCACACAATCTGTGTATTATCTAGGGGAATAATCCAGACACACACACTGTGTAAATGTTTTAGGGACATAATCCAGGTGCACACAATCTGTGTATTATCTAGGGGAATAATCCAGACACATACATTGTGTAAATTTTTAAGGGGAATAATCCAGACACACACATTGTGTAAATGTTTTGGGGGAATAATCCAGACACACACACTGTGTAAATGTTTTAGGGGAATAATCCAGACACACACATTGTGTAAATGTTTTGGGGGAATAATCCAGACACACACACTGTGTAAATGTTTTAGGGGCATAATCCAGACACACACTCTGTGTAAATGTTTTAGGGGAATAACCCAGACACACACATTGCGTAAATGTTTTAGGGACATAATCCAGGTGCACACAATCTGTGTATTATCTAGGGGAATAATCCAGACACATACATTGTGTAAATGTTTTAGGGGAATAATCCAGACACACACATTACGTAAATGTTTTAGGGGCATAATCCAGACACACACATTGTGTAAATGTTTTAGGGGCATAATCCAGGTGCACACAATCTATGTAAATGTTTTGGGGGAATAATCCAGACACACACATTGTGTAAATGTTTTAGGGAAATAATCCAGGTGCACACAATCTGTGTAAATATTTTAGGGGCATAATCCAGACACACACATTGTGTATGTTTTAGGGACATAATCCAGACACACACATTGTGTATGTTTTAGGGGCATAATCCAGACACACACATTGTGTATGTTTTAGGGACATAATCCAGACACACACATTGTGTATGTTTTAGGGGCATAATCCAGACACGCACAATCTGTGTTTTTGTGACATCCTTGATCCTTGCATATTACTATTGTTAACCTATCATGTTCTTAACTTCTTTTGAACAGTTCATGTGTTGATCTTACAAACATAATTCCAACCATGCTCAGTGAAATATGTTATGTTAACTTTAAAACTATGGATTTTTATGACCACATTAATTGGTAATATGTTGTAATAGAGTGAATCGTTTACTCATCCAGCTCAACACCTCTACATTACTGTCATTGAAGTTTGGTACGTAGAACACATGTGAGTAACTAACGTAAGGAGGAGCTCATTACCGAAGCATGACTGATGCACTGACAGCAAAACTGGTATTTTATGCTACAGTGAGGAATGTCTATGTTAT